CCAGAAATTATACTGAATAGTTTCACAGGTATCACTAGAGAACGTGTTTTCAAGTTTGCGAGGTTTGTATACAACACGATGGTTGCAGTCATTGATATGTCGCTTTAAACGTTAGACGAGATTTAAGCTTAAATCTTTCTAGATTTTTTGCATAATTTGCTATGACTGAAACTTTGCCAATCCCGTGAAGTTATTGCGTCGCACGGGCCACGCAGGTATGTGGAGCAACTGGTACTTGCGTATCTTTCTGTGCGTGCCAAAATCTAATCTAATCTACGCTTGAAAAAAAAGAAAAGCTAAGCGTGGAAACTTTTGATTATTAGATGTGGGTAGATGACCCTGTACTACTAAGCTGACATTTGCAATGAAGCAAACCCGCCCTTTCCATCCAATGTTTCTTGGTCTTTGGTTTTGTTTTTCCCATCGAAGGCAGCATCAGATCGATTCCCAATGATCAAAGGTATTTAACTTGGTCTTCAACAATCGACAGAAGAGGTGAAATGACAATGACGAAGGGACTAGAAGAGAATCCGTGGCCTTCCCAGCTTAAGAATTTCAACACTTTAGGCAGCAGTTGAAAGATAGAACTCTTTCCAAACCACTTCGGTAACTGCCCAAAAACATCTCTCCTCACGATGTTCTCGTTAATAATTTTTTGTTCAGATTTTAATTTGCTAACCGGAAACACAGCTAAGCTTTCTCTTAGCGCTTGCTGGAGGTCGTCCACGAACTTAACGTTCTCTACAACCTTGGCCCTATTGTGAAAGACTTTACTACAAAGCGAAGATTAGATTTTGGTGCGCACAGAAAGCAGAAAGCTACGTGGGCAAAAGCGCCAGTTGCTCGACCTACCTGCGTTGCCCGTGCGACGAAATAACTTCACGGGATTGGCAAAGGTTCAGTAACAGCAAATTACGCAAAAAATCTGGAAAGATTTAAGCTTAAATGTCGTTGAACGTTTAAAGCGACATATAAATGACTTCAACCATGGTGTTTTATACAAACCTCACAAACTTTAAAACACGTTCTCTCGTGATACCTGCGAAAGTATTCAGTATAATTTCCAGTAAAATTTTCGCGGACAATCTGATCGATCTCTCTTACATTGTGTGCTGAGACTGAAACTATTCATCTCAAGCAATTCTCCGTCGCACGGTCCAAACAATCATAGCGAGCAACTGAGCTACTAGGATATATGTCCGTGTTAACACACACGAAAGGTTTCTAAATACTTTCTTTGTGGGAATGTAGCTAAAAAACACTGACAAAGACATTCCATGTGGGAACTGCTCTCCAACTGCTTTTCTGAAGGGCAATTTTCCTGATTCCCCTGTTACTTCAGTTCAAGTTGATTGATACATATCTCCTTGCTTATATATCACACGAGACTGACTCTCATACTTAGTGTGGGATGCCTGTGAAAAAACCTGGAGATTACTTGAGATTAATGCAAGGATCAGAAGCGAGTTAAGAAAATTTCAGGGCTCTTTAAGGTATTTGTCAATAGCAGGCTGCTGGGGATAATAATTACTTTTTGTACCAATTTTGTTGACTGCCTGTGCTCTCCTCATGTACCAAACCTGGTTGCTAGGTTTGTACCTGCGTTTTACTGCCAAGTACAAAGGTGAGTCAGGGTTGTTCATGTCCATTGGTCTGTGGCTCTTAAATACTTTATAGATCTTAACAGGAAATTTGTGATATTCTACACTTCTGACTGGTGCCATGGGCTGATTTTCCAGTCTTGCAGAGGAGACAAGCATTTCTCGGCCAGTGGTTGGATCTGTCCCAAGGGAAATGTCACCCCATTTCATTTCTCGACTTTCAAGCTGTGTACGAGGACCAAAGAGGAAACAGAGATGCCACCACAGTTCTCTTTGTAAGAGAACAGGGTCAAGGAAAGCTTCATGTACCTCTCTCCCTCTGTTCTGCACCTCTTTCAGTGGTCTTTGGACTGGTGGAAAAGGTGGAGGGACACCACTCTGGTTTGAATTTTGCACTTGCCATGAACTTCCACAATTCTCCTCATTGGATGTAGGATCAGCTGTTGAAATTACCAATAAATATGGAATTTATCACACATTTGATGTAATATAATTACTTTTTTCCCTTTTTTCACCTAATGCAGAATTTTGCACAACTATTGTGTATTTCAAACTATCAACACATTGTCACTGTTTATGTTGTTTGGTATCAAAAATTAAGAAAAAGCATCAATGAAATTGATCAATGTATTGATGTAAACGGGAGAATCAGATTGCCATTAGGTCAGACCCATTCCCCACACCACCACCAAAATAAAAAGAAAATACCCCTAATTTTTCCTTAATGAATTCACTGGAACATCATCTAGAGTATTGATTTTATCTTTCCAGTGACCTACCTTGAATTTGAAAGAAGTAAAATGTGTCACGCTTGTTGGCCCTGGAAAAGTCGACCCCACATACCTTCGAGAAGATCCTTGATCAGCTTAACAAAGTTGCCGCATTCCTTCGCCCAAGGGTAAGTCTGCTGATAATTTTCTCTCAGTCGCAAAGCATTGTCATTTCTCGCTTGTGGGTCTTGGAGGGACAACTGCCGAATCCTCTCTGCCCATTCCTGGGGCTCCTTAGATGAAACAATCACATCTCTCCCACCTATTACCTTCTGGAGAGCTGCCGCTATGCCGGATTGACCAGAAACGAGGACGGGGACGCCAGCAGAAATTGCTTCGAGTGCAGTGAGTCCAAACCCTTCTACACGGGAGGGTAAGGCAACCAAGTCCGCTTGCCAGAGCATTTCCTTCAATTCTTCTCGGCCGCAAAAACCACGGATTGTTAATTGGTCCCGATCGATTCCCACCTCCTTGACGAACCATTTTTCAATTGCTCTCTGTTGACCTGCCGGAGCGCCAACACATGTCAACTTAAACTTCTCTCCTAAAGATGCTACAGCTTGAGCAATGATATCTAAACCTTTAACGTAACGATGCTCGCGTCTCAACCGCCCAATGACAAAGATTTTAAATTCCCAGAAATCCGCCGTTGAGTCGCTTTCGTCAGTAGAAAATGATCGGGTGGGATTGTGCACAGGTTGACAGAAACTTTGAAATATACCAGGAGTGAGAGACTCTACAC